TCTGGGTTCACGTTCTACCCCAAACAGCACCAGCTGTTTGACCGTGTCCTGGCAGCTCCAGTCTCTCTGAGCCTTCGTTTCCTCATCTCTTAACACTGGCTGAAAGTTCTGATTTACCAGGTTCTGGGAAGGAGTCAGGGAGGGAGAGAAGCATGTAAAACCTAGGAGCACAGGGCCTGGGACACAGTACGTGCTCAATCAGTGCTAGCTGAAGGGGTTGGCTAGTGACCGGAGCTTTAATGTCTGTCACTCAGGGAGCTGGTTGGAGAAAGGCAGAGCCTGTGCCTGCTGGGGCTGACCAGGCTCTGGCGTTAGAGGCAAGCGGTGGCCCCACTGACAGGAAAGTGGCCCCAGCTTTGGTTCTCTCTCTTCCTAGCCCAGCCAGTGAACTTGAACCCACAAGAAATTGGTCCCCATGGCCAAGCCCTGAGGCCTCCGGCCAGAGCGGGCTGGGGCCCTAGAGAGGTGGGGCTCCTCTTGTCTCCCCCAAACCTCCCCTTCTACCTTCCTCTCCCCTGGGCGTGACCAGCTGCTTTCTCTTGGTCCCTAAGTCTGGGGTTCTCTCCTCAGGGCTCTGCCTGCATCTCGCTCAGACCCGGGTTGGTGCGCTGGGTCTCTCTGAGCCTGGCCACTCGGCCTCTGCTTTCAATGATGCTGTGTCCCCGCCTCAGCACGTCCTCCTTTCTCTGACCCACCCCTCGGCTCTCTGTCTCAAGACCCTCCATCCCCACCACCTGTCCCTGTCCTTCAGCCCCCGTGTTCCTCTTCGCCCCCCAGCGCTCTGAGACTGGCCTCCCCCGCCCCCCGACACCCCCCTCGGGCTCTGTCCCGCCCGTCAGCCCCTGGTCCCAGCTCCTGGCCGGCCCGGCTCCTGCCTGGACAAAGGGGTCCTTTGTGGGCTGACCGCGCCTGGCGGGGCGGCGGGGCGCTGGCTCCACATTGCTGATGAAACGGAGCCCTTTGTTGTCCCTCCTCAGGCGCAGTATTTCTTTTTGGGGGCTGGATGCGTTCCTGGCAGGGCCGATGATGGATGCGCCCGCCGCCGCCCGCCTGCCCGCCAGCTTTCCCTCCCGCTCATTCCCGCTCCGCTTCAACGCAGCCCAGCTCCTCCCCTGCTGCCTTGGCACTGCCAGGCCCTCTCTGGCCTGGGAAGGGCTGCTGTGTGCCCTGCGGTAGGAGGCTGGGGCCTGGGAGACGGCCTTCTCCCGTGTCCTCCTGTCCCATGAGCAGAGCCAACGACGGGCCCTGTGGTCAGGGGTCCGCTGGGACCGGGGCTTCCGCTTTTTCCGGGGTCTGAAGGGAGGGGACGAGCCAGGGAGAGGGACTCGGGGATTACGTGTTGGTATCTGCCCACGGGGCGGGGGTGGGGGGGGGTGTGTTTGAGGATCGTTAGCCTGCCTGCCAGCTCCCCTGTGCACGCCCCTTCGTCGGTTGCTGTGGCTGAGGAACCACAGTGTTCCGCCCGCAGCACCTGCTCAATGACATATCACGTCCTCTGCTCCCGAGCTCAGCGTGTCCCAGGACCCGGGGGGCTGGGAGGAGGGTAGTCCCCGCGGGAAGACGGGAAAAGGGAAGATTTTAAGAGACTCAAAGGCAGGGCCGGAGACGAACAGGAACGGGAGGCCTGGGTCCCCATCGCAGGAGACTCGGGGATGGAGACAAAGCAGGGAGGCTTGGCCAGAGCACCGGCCCTGAACGCAGGCCGGCTGCGTTGGAGGGAGCTGACTTCTAATTGACCTGCCAGCTCCACACGCAGCGCCGGATCCTGGAGCTGGGAGGTGGCAGGGGGTGGGGGGAGCAGAGCAAGAGCGGAGTTAATGCCGCTATCGATTTCTGCCACCAGCCAGCAGGCCGCAGAAGCGGGAGGGGGGATGCACACAGGGGCCCCTCCCCGGCTCTCCAACCCGCGGGCGCCTGCCTGCTCCGGCCGGGCTGCTAGGAATGTGGTCTAGGGCTGGGGAGCTGAGCTCAGATGGGCAGGGGCTCGGCGAGGTGACGTGGGGGATGGTCTCTGGCCTGATGTCACTAGCCCTAGGCCCCAGGTGCCTGGAGGGAAACGGACCTCTGAGGAGAGAGGCCGAAGAGCCGGCCTGGGCCTGGTGCTTGGGAGGCAGGGTGCAGCGAGGCCATCCTTGGGGATACATGACCCTCTTTCTCTTACTACAACTCTGACGTCGGTGACACCTGAAGCCCGGCCTGGTCCTGGTGGAATCTGCCTGCGTGCCCAGCTCTTCCTCACCATTCATCTGCTTTCACCAGAAGGAGCCTTGGTGGGCTGGTGCCCACTGGGACAGGGCAGAGAGTGTCTGGCTTCCTCCTACTAATGCCTGCCACATGTCTCACCCCGGAGATCAGGGCTTCCCTACCTACACTTGCTCCTCCCTCCTAGCAGCCTTGGGGCAGAGGCCTGCCTGCCTGGGGTCTCGATTTTCCTCTCTGCGTGCGCAGAGGGGTGGACGGGATGACCTCCTGGGACGTGCCGAGTCCTGTGACTGGGGGCTGGTGGGGTTGCCTGGGGACAAAGATGCAGTGTGTGCCGCCCCCAAGGCCGGGCGGGGCCGGCCCGGCCAGATGTGTGCCTCCCCCTGGAGCCACCAGCTGCTCCGGCCGGGCCGGGCCTCCCGCCTCCTTTCTGGGGGTTGCTAGGCCAAGGCGAGCAGACAGGGAAGGAATGCTCGCGGGCCAGGGCTGATGAGGAAACTGCCACTCCGTTCCATCTGGAATGGCTCCTCCCCGGCCCCTGGCCAAGCGCCCTGGCCGCTCATGCGCCTTAGTCCTGGGGCCTGGGAGGACAGGTCTGTCCTGGGAAGGGTCGCACCTAATCTCAGTTCCAGCTTGTACCAGCCAGAGGGCCCTCCTGCCTGGAAGTCAGGCTGGAGCACAGCAGTGAGGCCTGAGTAGAGATAAGAGTGGGGTGGGGGCGGGGCGGGTGCCTGTGGTTTGAGAGGGAGAAGGAAGTGTGTGCTGTTGTGTGCACCAGCGTGTCCCCCCTCTTGCAGGCGAAGGCTTGTCCTCTGGCGCCGTGTCCTGCCTGCCCGGTAGCAGCAGGAGGACACATGCTCCTTGAAATAAGGTCTCTGAGCTCTGCTTGGCCAATCCTATTGAACAAAAGCAAACTGTTTCCTTTACCTGCGGGACGGGACCGAACAGAGCCTTGCGATCGTTGATGTGGTAGGAATATCCCGTGAGAATCCAGGGGCGGCTTCCCACACGTGTTGGTCTACACCTTCTGTGGGCCTACCCTTCAGGGCCGGTCCAGCTCCTCTTCTCCATAGTTGGGTCAGGGAAGGAAGGTTCCGGAAGTAGAAGGCGACTTTATCATCTCCCCCTGCTTAATAGGCATCTCCAGCTCTCGGCCCAGGAAGGCTGCCTGCCTCCGCCAGGCCTCCCCGATCCTGGCGAGGCAGTTCTGGCTGAGCCACTTCGTTTATCACACCCATGGGCTAGTCAATTCGCTTAAACCTCGTCTTCCTCGTCTATAAAATAGGATATGACTAGTCCCTACTTCATAGGGTTCTTGTGAGTCTTAACTGGGATCATTCAGATTTCAAAACCCTACGGATGGGGGCGGGCTGGCACTTACTGACTACCTGGCGGTTGTGAGGTATTGGCGTGGTGGTGGTGATGGTGGTGGTGGAGGTGGTGGTGGAGGAGGAGGAGGAGGAGGTGGAGGAGGAGATGGTGGAGGAGGAGGAGGAGGAGGAGGAGGTGGAGGTGGAGGTGGAGGAGGAGATGGTGGAGGAGGAGGAGGAGGTGGAGGAGGAGGTGAAGGAGGAGGTGGAGGAGGAGGTGGAGGAGGAGGAGGAGATGGTGGAGGAGGAGATGGTGGAGGAGGAGGAGGAGGTAGAGGTGGAGGAGGTGAAGGAGGAGGTAGAGTAGGAGGTGAAGGAGGTGGAGGAGGAGGAGGTGGAGAGGTGGAGAAGGAGGAGGAGGAGGAGGTAGAAGAGGAGGAGGAGGTGGAGGAGGAGGAGGAGGTAGAGGAGGAGGAGGAGGTTGAGGTGGAGGAGGAGGTGGTGGAGAAGGTGGAGGTGGAGGAGGTGGTGGAGGAGGAGGAGGAAGTAGAGGAGGAGGAGGAGGTGGTGGAGAAGGTGGAGGTGGAGGAGGTGGTGGAGGAGGAGGTGGAGGAGGAGGAGGAGGAGGTGGTGGAGGTGGTGGAGGTGGAGGAGGAGGTGAAGGAGGAGGAGGTGGAGGTGAAGGTGAAGGTGAAGGTGGAGGAGGAAGTGGAGGAGGAGGAGGAGGAGGAGGAGGTGGAGGAGGAGGAGGAGGTGGAGGAGGAGGAGGAGGAGGTAGAGGTGATGGAGAAGGTGGAGGTGGAGGAGGTGGTGGAGGAGGTGGAGGAGGAGGAGGAGGAGGAGGTAGAGGTGATGGAGAAGGTGGAGGTGGAGGAGATGGTGGAGGAGGAGGAGGAAGTAGAGGAGGAGGTGGTGGAGAAGGTGGAGGTGGAGGAGGTGGTGGAGGAGGAGGAGGAGGTGGAGGAGGGGGAGGTGGAGGAGGTGGTGGAGGAGGAGGAGGAGGAGGGGGAGGTGGAGGTGGAGGAGGAGGAGGAGGAGGTAGAGGAGGGGGAGGAGGAGGTGAAGGTGGAGGAGGAGGTGGAGGAGGAGGAGGAGGAGGAGGTAGAGGTGATGGAGAAGGTGGAGGTGGAGGAGGTGGTGGAGAAGGTGGAGGTGGAGGAGGTGGTGGAGGAGGAGGAGGAGGAGGTGGAGGTGGAGGAGGAGGAGGTAGAGGAGGGGGAGGAGGAGGTGGAGGTGGAGGAGGAGGAGGAGGAGGTAGAGGAGGGGGAGGAGGAGGTGGAGGTGGAGGAGGAGGCGGCGATGTTTACCGCTGTGTCCTCTTGCCCTGACAGAGCGAAGACACTTCCACGCGAAGAGCTGACCATGTGCCTGCCCTGAGCGCCGAGGCCCCCAGGCGTCGCTGTTGTGGGCGGCGGGCCCCGCACTGGTCCGAGGACTCCCCTAGTCGGCAGGCTCCCCCAGCACCCGGGTCTGGGCCTCGGCCCCACCATGTCGAGCCTCAGCAGTGGCTCCCAGGACACCAGCGGCAGCAGCAACACCACCAATGGCGGCGGTGGCGGCGGCGGCGGCCCCAAGGCCGGCGTGGCCAGCAAGAGCGCGGCGGTGGCCGCCGCCGCTGCCCCGGCCTCCGTGGCCGACGACGCACCGCCCCCCGAACGCCGGAACAAAAGCGGCATCATCAGCGAACCCCTCAACAAGAGCCTGCGCCGCTCCCGCCCCCTCTCCCACTACTCCTCCTTCGGGGGCGGCGGGGGCGGCGCGACGGGCGGGGAGTCCGCCGAGAAGGCCGCGGCCGCCGCGGCCGCCGCCTCCCTGTTGGCCAACGGGCACGACCTGGCCGCAGCCATGGCCGTGGACAAAAGCAACCCTACCTCAAAGCACAAAAGCGGCGCGGCGGCCAGCCTGCTGAGCAAGGCCGAGCAGGCCACGGAGCTGGCAGCCGAAGGACAGCTGACGCTGCAGCAGTTCGCGCAGTCCACGGAGATGCTGAAGCGCGTGGTGCAGGAGCACCTGCCGCTGATGAGCGAGGCGGGCGCCGGCCTGCCCGACATGGAGGCCGTGGCCGGCGCCGAAGCCCTCAACGGCCAGTCCGACTTCCCCTACCTGGGCACCTTCCCCATCAACCCGGGCCTCTTCATCATGACGCCGGCGGGCGTGTTCCTGGCGGAGAGCGCGCTGCACATGGCGGGCCTGGCCGAGTACCCCATGCAGGGGGAGCTGGCCTCCGCCATCAGCTCCGGCAAGAAGAAGCGGAAACGCTGTGGCATGTGCCCGCCCTGCCGGCGGCGCATCAACTGCGAGCAGTGCAGCAGTTGTAGGAACCGAAAGACTGGCCATCAGATTTGCAAATTCAGAAAATGTGAGGAACTCAAAAAGAAGCCTTCCGCTGCTCTGGAGGTAACGGCGCCTTAGAGGGAGGTGTGCGGGCTCTCGTGTCTTGTCTGGCGGCCCGGACCCGCCCCCAGCCCCACCTTCCCCGCCTGGGTGAGGGCCCGGGGGACGCCCAGTCCCTGGGCTCTGGGGTTCTAGGCCAGTCTTGGAGACACCAGTTCACTGCCCCCCCCCCCCCCCAAAAATCAGAGCCACATCCTGACACAGCCCGTTAGGTGGTAGTCTGCAAGGCAAGCATAAGAAAACTCCAGGCAAGGGCCTCGCCTTCCCAGCCGGGCCCCTCCCCCAGGAGTTATGGGTCAGGTTTTGAGATTCCCATACACATCCCAACTTCCCAAGTTTCAGACACGTCCTAAAGCTTCCCGTCTGTGACCTAAGACCCTGGGACCCTCCCCTGTCCCATTTGACAGGGCTCTGTCCCATGGACCCTGTGGCTTTAAGGTAACCCTATCACCTGTCCCTTCAGAGCCTCGCCTTCCCCCCCCCCCCCCCCCCCCCCCGCCCAAGGCCACTCAAGGATAGGGCAGCTCCAGGGCTGGCAACCCTGCTCTGAAGCCTGGAAAAACCCTGGTTCTAGGCGCCTCACTGACATATATGTGGGGTGCCTTGAGGCCCCAGGATCAGTCTGGTTGCACAGCTCATGACCAGGGACCTATGGGCCTGGAGTTAGGTGGTGAGCCTGGGGTGTGTGCAAGGCCTGTGCACTGTGGGATTGGCTTAAAGGAGGCCACATGGTTCCCATATTGCTCTCCCTCTGACTTGCGGCTAGGCCTGTCCCTGTGCCCCCAGCTGTGCCAGCCCAGCTGTGCTGCCAGGCCTGGGTACAAAAGCATCTTTTTTGCCTGCTGTCCCCACCCCTCTAGGAGTGGGCTTGATGCAAATGTCCAGAATGGTTGGAAAACAATAATGGCATCTCAGCCGTGGCTACCCACCCCCGGAGCCCCAAGTCTCATATATCTGCTCTCCTGCCCAGAGAAATACACCATCCTGTAGGCACACACAGGCACCCACCCTCGTCTATTGTAAACACACACACACACACACCCAGTGCACACAGACGTAGCCTCTTAATAAACACAGCAAGTATCCTCTTTCCCCCCACAGCGCCAAACACGCTACCCACCGTAGCAGAGCTCCAGGCGTACACCCATCTACGTGTTCAGTGCACACGCTTACACGCTCATGCGACAGAAAGCTGCACACGGCTCCCAGACGCACCGCAGCGCCTGGTGCTTGTGGCCTTTGGACCAGGGGAAGGGATGTTTCTGTCCGGAAGGAGGCTTTCTGGGCCCAGTGGTTCAGGAGGCCTCAAGGTGCTCCAGGCCTCCAGCGACCCGGGGGGTCCAGGCTCCTTCTCTGGCCTGGCCAGGATGGCAGGAACTCCACAGGGTGGCTGCCTGTACTCTGTGCCCATCCCTCCACCATGAGACCGTCCACGGGGAACATCTTGGCACCAGACCCGGCCGGACCCTGACTGAACTCTCTCCTTGTTTTTGTCTCCCGCCCCCCCGCCAGAAGGTGATGCTTCCGACGGGAGCCGCCTTCCGGTGGTTTCAGTGACGGCGGCGGGAACCCAAAGCTGCCCTCTCCGTGCAATGTCACTGCTCGCGTGGTCTCCGGCAAGGGATTCGGGCGAAGACAAACGGATGCACCCATCTTTAGAACCAAAAATATTCTCTCACAGATTTCATTCCTGTTTTTATATATATATATTTTTTGTTGTCGTTTTAACATCTCCACGTCCCTAGTATGAAAAGAAAAAGAAAAAAAAACATTTAACTGCTTTTTCGGAAGAAGAAGAACAACAACAGCAAAAAAGAGAGGTAAAGACGAATCTATAAAGTACCGAGACTTCCTGGGCAAAGAATGGACAATCAGTTTCCTTCCTGTGTCGATGTCGATGTTGTCTGTGCAGGAGATGCAGTTTTGTGTAGAGAATGTAAATTTCTGTAACCTTTTGAAATCTAGTTACTAATAAGCACTACTGTAATTTAGCACAGTTTAACTCCACCCTCATTTAAACTTCCTTTGATTCTTTCTGACCATGAAATAGTGCATAGTTTTGCCTGGAGAACCCACTCGCGTTGATAAAGAGAATGTTGATGGCGCCGTGTCGAAGCCCCTCTGTATCCATCCGCGTGGGCAGAGCTGCCTTGAGCTCGCGGAGGGGGAGGGAGAAGGCTCCCCGCCCCCCGCGGGGGCCCAGGCCAGGCGTGCTGCCCCCACCGCCCCCACAATAGGGTCCCACACCCCCCCAACAATGATTTTGCAAAAAAAATGAAAAGTTCTGTTTGTTTATTCGTTGAGATCTGGGAGCCCATGTCTTCTCGATAGTTTTCTGATCATGATCCATGGCTACTTCCCTTAGAGAAAATAAGTCCCTTTTTCCCCAGCCTGGCCGGTGGCGACAGAAGGAAAGGGCTTCTCTGCGTGGTCCCCTGCCAGTGGGGGTGGGTGCCCAGGGGGGTCCCCCTCGGCCTGGGCCCTCTGGCCCACGGCCAGCTTCCTGCTGATGAACATGCTGTTTGTATTGTTTTAGGAAACCAGGCTGTTTTGTGAATAAAACGAATGCATGTTTGTGTCATGAAGCACCGCTGGCTCCTTGCTCTTGGGTTGGGGTGGGGGGAGCTGCTGCTGGGCTTGGGGGGGGGGTTGTCCAGGATCACCTTGGGGAAGAAGAGGGATCACCCAGGGACGTGTAGAGGGGGATCTCTTGGGAAGTGAGGCCCTCTGGATACACTGGGGGGGGGGGGGGGGCAGCAGGAGCAGCCAGCCTGAGGACAGGGTGGAAATCTATTAATCTGGCAGGGGCTGGTACCAGATAGAGCACCTCCCCTGCCTGATTGTGCCCCTGCCTCAGAACCGGAACCTCCGGGGACTTTCATTCACCTGGGGCCACCTTCTCTATTCATCCAAAGTCAACAGCACCTGATCGGCAAAAGCAGCCAGCAGGCCTGGGGGTGGGGCCTGAGCTGCCTGTTCAGGTTCTTATCTCTCCTCACTCAGAGACCTAGTGCTCCCCCAGCCACCGATGCGTGTCCCCGGGGTTCACAACCAGCACACGCGCACGCACGCAGGGACCCCGCGTCCCTCGAGGACGGGGCCCGGGGTGTCCCTGGCTTTGTCTCTTGTCACTGTCCCACCCCCAGGAAATGTGTTGGCACAAGCTTGTCTGGGACCTCAGAGGTCAGGTGCCGGGAAATCACCCTCGGAGCCTCATGGTCTGGGCCAGGGAGCCTGAACCAGGGGAGACGGCTGCTGCACACCCCCACCCCCACCCGACACAGCCCGGAGGCTGGCTGCGGGGTAAGGCCTGGCCTCCACCGGACAGGGAGGCACTCCTCCCGCCCAGCTGCCTGGAGCCCGGCTGAGCCCGGCTGGACCTGAGGAAGGTCTCTGAGGAGGCTGGGCCTGGCCTCAGGTGGGCGGGGGCTTTGGGAGGTTGGGAGGAGGGCTTTGGGGAGGATGGGAGGAGGGCTTTGGGGAGGAAGGAAGGAGGGCTTTGGGGAGGATGGGAGGAGGGCTTTGGGGAGGATGGGAGGAGGGTTTTGGGGAGGATGGGAGGAGGGCTTTGGGGAGGATGGGAGGAGGGTTTTGGGAAGGATGGGAGGAGGGTTTTGGGGAGGAAGGAAGGAGGGCTTTTGGGAGGATGGGAGGAGGGCTTTGGGGAGGATGGGAGGAGGGCTTTGGGGAGGGAGGAAGGAAGGAGGGCTTTGGGAAGGATGGGAGGAGGGCTTTGGGGAGGATGGGAGGAGGGTTTTGGGGAGGAAGGAAGGAGGGCTTTGGGGAGGATGGGAGGAGGGCTTTGGGGAGGATGGGAGGAGGGCTTTGGGGAGGATGGGAGGAGGGCTTTGGGGAGGAAGGGAGGAGGGTTTTGGGGAGGATGGGAGGAGGGCTTTGGGGAGGATGGGAGGAGGGTTTTGGGGAGGAAGGGAGGAGGGCTTTGGGGAGGATGGGAGGAGGGCTTTGGGGAGGATGGGAGGAGGGTTTTGGGGAGGAAGGGAGGAGGGCTTTGGGGAGGATGGGAGGAGGGCTTTGGGGAGGATGGGAGGAGGGCTTTGGGGAGGAAGGGAGGAGGGCTTTGGGGAGGATGGGAGGAGGGCTTTGGGGAGGATGGGAGGAGGGCTTTGGGGAGGATGGGAGGAGGGCTTTGGGAAGGAAGGGAGGAGGACTTTGGGGAGGAAGGGAGGAGGGTTTTGGGGAGGATGGGAGGAGGGCTTTGGGGAGGATGGGAGGAGGGTTTTGGGGAGGAAGGAAGGAGGGCTTTGGGGAGGATGGGAGGAGGGCTTTGGGGAGGAAGGAAGGAGGGCTTTGGGGAGGATGGGAGGAGGGCTTTGGGGAGGAAGGAAGGAGGGCTTTGGGGAGGAAGGGAGGAGGGCTTTGGGGAGGATGGGAGGAGGGCTTTGGGGAGGATGGGAGGAGGGTTTTGGGGAGGAAGGAAGGAGGGCTTTGGGGAGGATGGGAGGAGGGCTTTGGGGAGGATGGGAGGAGGGCTTTGGGGAGGATGGGAGGAGGGTTTTGGGGAGGAAGGAAGGAGCTACTTGTGAAGCTGAGTGGGCCGAGCCGGGAGGGACATGGGACGGCTCTCTCGTTTCCGGGAGGGGAAAGCAGCCATGTTGGCTGGGGGCTCTGACCCTCAGCCCTCTCCCGTGTGCCACAAGCTCCTTCCAGCACCAGGAGCTCTGCAGCCTGGCCTGGCACAGCGGGGGAGGTGGGAGGCTGCTTTCAACTCCATCTCTGCCCGGGAAAAATTCCCTTTCATGTGGCTGCCTGTGATCTCTCCAGGCGGCTCTGCCGATGGGGGCGTCCAGCGGGGAGTAGAGGGAGGTGCTGCAGCGGGGGCACCCTCGCCCCTGCACAAGGCAAACTGCACCTCGGAACCTTGAAGGGATGGAGAGGATCCTCCTGGGGGGCTGGGGAGAGGGGGGATGGGAAGCTGGCCAGCAGGGGGCACCAGGCTGGAGGCCCCTGCGTGCCCCCACCTGGCTGCTGGCAACACAAAAGCTGCAGATGGCCTCGGCCAGCCCTGAGGTGCGGGGTGGATGGCTCCTGTGCCAGCCCCAAGGGGGAGGGGGTGCCGTGACTCAGCCAGTCTGTACCTCGCAGTGTGCCAGCTTACAGCCCAGCCACAGCTCCCGGCCCCCTCCCCCCCAACACACACACGCACACACACACACACACACATACACACTCTCTCTACAGAGAAGCCTCGCCCTGAAGGCCCTCACCTCTTCCAACTGCAGCTGTCTGCGCTCTGCTTATGGAAATGGTAGGCAGCCCCAGGCAGGGGTGGGGATAGCTGTGAGGCTGAACACACGATGAATCCTCAGTTACCTCATCTGGGAAATGGGGACCATTAACAGTCTCTCTCCCTTACAGTGGCTTTCGGATGAAATGAGATCACTCTGGAGAAGGACCTGGCTCATCTTAAGCGCTTGTTCAATGGCAGCTGGTGGTGGTATTTTATTTTTATTTAAAATGTTTAAATAAAACATTGACAACAGAGAGAGAGAGAGAGAGGCATCAATGTGAGAGAGAAACATCAGTCCAATCCCTCCTGTATTTACCCCGACCAGGGACTGAACCTGAAACCTGGGCATGTGCCCTGAGCAGGAATCGAACTGGTGACCTGATGAACCGGTCGATGCTCAAGCAACTGAGCCACACAGGCCAGGGCTGATGTTATGCATTTAAAACTGTTGATCTAAATCTCACCAAGATGTCCCCCACCTTCCACCCAGGGTGTGTGTCTTCTCTAAACACCTGGCTATCCCACCTCCCACCTCCCCCCTTCCCCAGCAGGCCCCAGCCCTGCCTGCCTGCCTGCCACTCCGGCTCCCTGTCCGAAGCTCTCCTGATGGTCTCTGACTCCTAGTGTCTCTGCACCTCCATGTCCCTCATGTTTCTCCATCTGTGTCAGGTGCTTCCCTGCCTTTCCGTTACAGGTTCATCCCTGCTCCCCCTGAAGTATGCCCAGTGCCCCTCCCCGCTCTGCTACCGTGGGGAGCCTGGCCTCCTGGTGCCCCGGGAGCCTTCACCTGGGTGGCAGCGAGTGGTGTGGTAGGCTGGAGGGCACAAGGGGCTGGAGTCAAAAGCAGCCTCCATGCAGCCAAGTGGTGTGGTGTGTGTGTGTGTGTGTGTGTGTGTGAGAGAGAGAGAGAGAGAGAGAGAGAGATGCTTCAAGGCCCTACGACCATGTGAAGCCTGTGTGACACTGAGCGTGCCACTGAGTGTGCCGTGCCATGGGTCTATGACAGGGTGTGGTAAACTATGATGTGAGACCTGCTGTGACATCTTGTAGCAGATGATGTCAGCAGCCATGCTTTGGGATAGCCTGTGACGGTGCAGGCGTGATCCCGTAACACCGTACCATTCCGTACAGACCCAGTGTGATACCAGGCTGCACAACTGTGTGTGTGACACTGAGTGGTTCTATGTGTGGGACACTGGATATGCAGCAGGGATCCTGCATGGCCTACACGACCCTATGACAGACACTGGGTGACTCTGTACGGTCTGTGACATGGTATCTGGGAGGCCGTCGGGCTGTGGCCCTGAGG